GTTCCTTTGGCTTAGGATGAAGTCTCAGATCAAGGTATATGTCAGGATCCTCCCAGGGCTCAGGAAGGGTGGTGAGATATCAGAGTCAATGTCCCCTTTACCCATCTGCTGTCATCCAGAAGGGGTAAGATTGAGATGGATCTTGTGTTCAGAATATGCACCACAAACTTTCTGAGGCTCCTCCACTCCCAGAATCTTTCTCTTCTTGTTCCCTCGACTTTCATTGCATCTTCACTGTCCGTGCCCATCCTGGGACTACAGATTTCAGACTCCTGAAAGATTTGTGCTCAGAGTGACTCCTCTGACTGGGACCGGCCACAGGCCTGTCCACATGTTTCTTTCCTTTCAATGATACCAGTGCTTCCTCAAGATGACTCTACAGTGGCTGAGCATCTGAATGCTTGAGTGTTCTTCTTTTGAAGTTTCACAAGTGGGCATGTGGATATTGTCCAAGGAAATGCACACTGCTCCAGTTTTATCACATAGAATAGCTCATTAAACTTTGGAATTTCTAGAAGTTTTGTGTTCTGTGATTCATGGGGAAGTTGATGGAGGCAGTGCAATAGAATTGGGTTTGGTGGAATCCTCTCCAACTCTGGGTCTCCTGAGAAGCCACAGATGGTAGAACTAAGGTGGATCTGAACTTAAGTGGGGGATCATGGCCAAGGACCCATTAGACCAAAAGCACAATGTCTGTGACATCCCAGGGCATCTGATATACACAATGAGACCCAGAGACAACCACCAGTCCTCTCATGGTTTATGTGATCTCTAATCTTCAGAGATGGCTCACATACCTACCCAGGTTTGGTAGGTGAAGGAATAAATTTGGTCATGTGTATTGTTTCTTTGACCCCATTTTTATTAGGGACAGCCTGACTGAGGGATAGAAAGCAGGAACATGGCATCACATATGATGTATAACAGAATATTTTACAGCAAAGAGAATAAGACTATGGAACATATAGGAAAGGCTACAGATGAGGCATACTCATTTTTTCTGTTTTCTGTTTATTGATTTTCTCAAGATTACTGTAGGGAAAATGATGTTTAAATGTAGTGGTATCCCAGATATAATTATAATTAGAGCTAAGCCCATAAATTTTTGCCAATTAATGTATCTTTTACAAATATCAATGTTTAATTAGATTGTGTTGTAGAAACACAGAAGCTAACTAGTATGCTTTTTAGATATAAATTTTTCATTTCTCTTTGAATCTAATTATGGAAAAATATAGCAGACACACAATTTGTTTAGTTAACACAGTTATATTAAAAATACTTATAATATTTGTTCAATTGCCTTTATCTTCCTCTTATGTTGGGGTTTGTTTATAGAGTGATAAGTAATGTAGTTCTAGCATTAAGTTTGCTAGACATGGCACTTCTCTGGTACTTCAAGATATAAATTTCTACTCTCTCTCTAAAATAATTCCTTAGGACAGTCTCTTTTTCTTCATTTCCTTTTTCTTTTCCATTTTCTTTTGTTTTAGGCTCTTAATCACCTGTAGCTGAGGAGTTTCTCAGTTTCTGTCTCTGGGTAATAAGAGAAGTAGGGACACAGTCACCCTGAGTGGTAGCCTCTCCCTGGGTTGGTCCCCATGCAAGATGATATTTCCTGTTTTCCATTTCAAATGGAAATTTTAGACCATCTTCTAATTCCAGATTGATGGTATTTTTTTTTTTTTTTTTTAATTTTTTATTGTTGGCTTTTCAAAACATTACATAGTTCTTGATATATCATATTTCACAATTTGATTCAAGTGGGTTATGAGCTCCCATTTTTACCCCATATACAGATTGCAGAATCACGTCAGTTACACATCCATTGATTTACATATTGCCATACTAGTGTCTGTTGTATTCTGCTGTCTTTCCTATCCTCTACTATCCCCCCTCCCCTCCCCTCCCCTCCCCTCCCCTCTTCTCTCTCTGCCCCCTTTACTGACATTCGTTTGTCCCCCTTGTATTATTTTTCCCCTTCCCCTCACTTCCTCTTGTATGTACTTTTGTATACCTCTGAGGGTCTCCTTCCATTTCCATGCATTTTCCCTTCTCTCTCCCTTTCCCTCCCACCTCTCATCCCTGTTTAATGTTAATCTTCTTCTCATGCTCTTCGACCCTACTCTGTTCTTAGCTACTCTCCTTATATCAAAGAAGACATTAGACATTTGTTTTTTAGGGATTGGCTAGCTTCACTTAGCATAATCTGCTCTAATGCAGATTGATGGTATTTTTTCCATTTTCTTTCTGTCTTTTGATCTTTACCTACGAGTGGTATCTAGTAGTCACCTGTTGTTTTGACCTTCCAAATTGTTATTAGCAAACAATAGGAGGCAGGTACCTCCTGTCCCAGGGAACCCTAGTAGACCTCTGCAGGGTCAAGGGAGAGAAAGGACAGCACTATAAAGGTAGCAAGCTCGCCTGGCATGCGTGCGGCCCGGGTTTGATCCTCAGCACCACATACAAAGATGTTGTGTCCGCCGAAAACTTAAATAAATAAATATTTAAAAAAAAAAAAAGAAATGCAGCAACAGAAGAGTTGCCTGCTCCAGCAGCACCTACTCTTTGGAGACATCCTAGAACTCAGATGGAGTTACCCACCCTCCTCAAGTAATGGGTTAGGTTTAGGTAATTTGAGCCTTGCAACCCAGCTCCACTTCACCCCCACAGTGAAGTCCAAGCCTGGTCATCCATGATTGTTACCAACTTGGAATCACTGCTTCCCTGGAGCTTGGTAGGTAGACTGTGTGCTCTGGTATAGATCTAAAGTGTTTCCTAAATGCCCATTTGTTGAAGACCTGGACACCAGTCTGTACCTCTATTAGGAGGTGGTGGAATGTGTAAGAGGTAGGTCCCATGGAAAGAAGTTAGGTCATTTGGGATGTGCCCTTGAAGGGGATATTGGGACCCTAGGCCTCTTTTGTCTCTTTTGCTTCTCACCCATCATGAGGTGAGCATCTTTGCTCCACCACACGCTTCTTGCCATGATGTGCTTCTTGGCACAGGTCCAATGCAATAGTCCAACCAGCCATGGATGGAAACTTCCAAAGCTGTGAATCAAAATAAACCTTTCCTCATCTAAGTTGATTTTGTCAGGTAATGTGTCACAGTGGTGGAATGCTGACTAACACTCTTGCGTCTCTATCATCTGTGAGAAGAAGGAAGAATAGTTTCACCATCTTGACCTCATCACCAGGACTTCATCATTCAGAACTTATATTGTCCTGACCACTGATCTGAGAACCCAGATTGCCACAACCCCACACCTGATTCAAAGACCAACAAGACCAAGAATAGTGGCCAGTTGCTTAGAGACCAGGAAGGCAGTAAAGGCTGCATGGAGAAACTTCCTTCTTCTTCTAAGATCTGATGTCCTATGACTGCAGGGGATCCCACAACTCAGAAAGCCTTTAAGAATTTCTTCTCCAAGGCAACATCAACAACAGCAGTACCCCTCAGCATGACCCTGTAGCAGCAAGCAGTAATGCCAACCCAGACCAAGATTCATTGTGCTTTTGGAAGTGAGAAAGCATTGGCAGCAGAAAGACACAGAGACTATGTCTAAGCCTGGTCTGTCATGCTGTCTATGATGCCCATTGTTTTGAATGGCCCAGACAGAACACAATAAGGAGCTCCATCTACATGGGTTTCCTAGGGGAATGATCTCACCCTCAGAGTCTGGCCTCAATGATATAGCCACAATGTGAAAGTTTAGGAGATCTTAGGACTTACAGACAATGGGGGTGGACAGGATGCCTGAAGGACATGGAGGTCAGAGAACAAATGGAGAAAGATAGAGAGAATTGCCTGGGCCTTTCCCTCAGGGGAGCTCTATGCCCTCGGCAGAGCTCTAATTGGTGGGATTAAGACAGACATGCATTTGTTCTCAGAGTTAACCTGTGACTAAGAGGAGGTAAGTTTATGTTCAGGGCAAATGTTGAGCAGTCCCTTTAAAGAAAATGGTGAATATGTGCAGAGGACAGCTTGCTAGGAAAGAGAGAGCCTGTAAGTTCTGTCTCTGGCCACAGGCTACAGTCATTCTGATGAGATAGAGTCCTAGGAACTATGTGACAGTTTCTGAGCTCCCATCTGATTTAAGAAAGTTAAACATATTTACAAATAGATGCTGAAGCAACATAACATTATGAGAACTCACTACAAGGCTATACCTGTGTTCAGGTGTGCTCAGAAGAAAGTTACCTGGTGCTAAATGCATGGCATTGTCTCTGTCTCTAGTTCCATCTCTTTCTCCCAGCAGTGTGGGTTACTAGGACCACCCTTAGCCTTGCCAAAACCCATACATATGCTTGTTGAATCCAGTGCCAGTTCCTGCTCATCTTTCTGTCTCTGCATGAGGAAGCTGCTCTGCCAGCTGAGCAGAACCAAAGCTCCAACGCAACAGGGAGGTGATGCTAGAGAGATCTTGTTACTCTCAGTTGACCCTTCAGGTCTCAGGCCGGGCATCCTCAGGCAGGTTTGGAGCATGTCCCAGGAGACCTTGCTGCTGTGACTTCTCTTCCCCAACCACACTTGGTGCTCCTTCTCATTCTTTTTGTTCTTTGGTCTTCTGCTAATGATTTGAGCTTATCTCCCGATTTCAACATCTAATTCTGGAGGCATTCCAATCAAAGTCCCTCTACTTCATTGAGGCAGTAGGTGGCAGGTGTGGCGGGGATTTGATTCAGGAAATTCTGCATCACCTTGTTCATCCTCCTTAAACCACCCTGCCAGGGTTCTCTCCCTCCTGGATGGACAGGAGGTGAATTGAACAATGTTGGCTGTAGGAGGGTAGACAACACGTGGGAAGGAACAGTAAGACTGTAATGGCAGAGAGGAGTCCCCAGAAGGAGGAGTTTGTGCCTCAGGAGATGAATATAAGGGCTATACCTGTGTCCAGTAAGATTTTCTTAGAGCAAGAATTGGGAAGGGTTGTGGCAGGGGTGCCCAGCGCCTGCACCATGCCATGTTCATCTGGGTGGAGGTCTCTGCCCTGGACCATGAAGCTATTTTTATTTGGATTGCTGTTCCTGGTGACCCCTGTCTCAAGGGCCATAATAGAATACACAAGGAACACAGAAAATAACTTTCCTGCCACCGTGGAGTTTGCTGTGCACTCATTCAACCAGGAGAGCAAGGATGAGTATGCCTATAGGCTGGTGCGTGTACTTAAATCCTGGATAAATAAGGTTGGTGACACATCCTCTATTGCTCTGCCCTCCTGCACCTGCTTATCTGTGAGGAACCTGGGGTGAGAGGGTTCTTATCAGTGGGTGGTCTTGGGTCACCATACTAATCCATACCTGGGTAAAATGTAACCTATACTACTAGTCCATATTCAGGTAAAATACAAGTCAGTTTCCATTTTTTATGAAATATTTAAGTTGACATTTTAAAATAGTGTCTATTTCCACTGAATAGTTTAAATATTATTTAGTCTTCTTCCTTACGATATTATTTAACTTATGAACAATTTCCAAATGAGGACACCTTAGGAAATATAGCAGAGAATAAGCAAAAGAACCATAAAGAATACATCATTGTGATAAAGTAAAAAAAAAATTCAAATTTTGTCATTTTATGTGACAAATGGGGATGCTTAGAAAAGAAGAGGCAGAGAGTGAGTAAAGGGAAGGTAAAGGAAACTGATGATTTAAGGAGCAATTTGATCCACTGTCAGGCTCGAGAACCACTGTGAATTCAGCTTCTCTACTCCGATTTCCACTTGCACCGGCCTCCTGAGTGTGTCTCTATCTGACAGCACATTGACGTCTCCAGAAAAATTCTTCTGGTCATTCTTCTTATTCCTGAAATGTACTACTTTTAATATAAGTGCTATGGAACATCATCAGGAATGCACTGTTCATCTCCTAATGAAGCACTTCTGGTCTTGAGGGAGCATGGGCATTGCTTTTCCTCCTTTCGCACCATGAGCCCCCAAATAAGAGCAATGGGACCCCAAATCCACAAAGAGCTGAAGCTCCTGTGGCAGCTTGTGTGTAACACCCTGGCTGGTCTGCTGGCCAATGCTGTTCCAGGTGGGAGCCTGACATGTGAGATCATTGGTTTTGACAAGAGCAGGTTTAGTTTGGTGATTTGGGAAAATGGATGATGTGGGATGCTGAGGAACGAAATGAAGTAGAAATGAGTAGGCAGAAGTGGAAGTAAAATTTCAGAGTGCACTTTGTAATAGGAATGGATGTTGGCAGTGTTCCAATTTTGAGTGTTCAGATGTAGTGGTAGCACTGTATAACATTTTTTTCTTGCTGTAGCTCAGATGAAAGCATTGATAACATTTCATATGTTAAGTCTCCTTCTCTTGGGTCAGAGACTATTCTTCACATTTTGAGAGACATCACTCTGCAGTGTAGTTGGTCCATGCAATTGTAGGTTCAAATTCCTCCTGAGAGTGAAGTTGAAGTCTCACTGTGGTACAGTGGGCATGTGGGGGCTGGAGATTTGTGACGTATTAATGATTATGACTCAGCCTACATCTTCCTGGGGCCTCCACCAGCTCCACCTGCTTTTTGATCTCAATTATGCAAACTAGAGATCATCTTACTGGCTTTCACTTCCAGCCAGCTGATATCAGGGCCAAGCCGAGCTACAAGATTGTGATGGCGTTTTCCATGAAACTGAAGTTGCGCCGGACGAAGTGTGGAAAATTAGAAGATGACATTGAAAACTGCCCCTTTCAAGACAGTTTGAAACTGAACAACGTAAGAGAGGACATAAGCCTCCTTTGTTTTCACAGATATAGGTGCTACTTGGGCATGGAGTGGAGTGTAGGAACCGCTCATGAAGCCATTCTTGGGCCCACAAGAGTGAGCTAAAAACAGGCTCCATCAGGCCACTCTGCCTGAGCCTTAGCGAGGAGCCCACCAGGCAGGCAACCCAGGGGTCCACATGGAGAACCTTGGCCAAACAGACTTCACAGCTCTTGCCACTCATGCCATTATAGCTTCCTGCTGCCTGGGACACATGGCAGTCTACTCACACCCCCTAGTGTCCTTGGCGAGGGTAGATGATGTCCCTTGCCTTTCTCTCCTCTGCTTTCAAGAGAAGGAGCCGGTGGGGCTCCAACATCTGCTTTGTTTAAATGTACAGACACTGCCTCAAAGCCTGAGAGTAGAGACTGAGGAGGGACCTACATGCTGAGCTGTAGCACCTGCTCTGGGTGAGATGTACAAGGGAACAACTCCACCCAGGATTAGATAATTAGATTTTCTAATATAATTAGATAAGTAGGGAGTTAACTAAAACTTTAACTAATAACCTAAATCTGAGAGCAGATCACTATGGAACAAAGCTTCTCTCAGGACCTTGGATCACACAGGACAGCCTCGGTTTTCTCTGGAGTTAACTAAGTGGAATGAGATAACTGACATAGGTGCACCTGGGTCAGGAGCAGCCCTAGATTAATTAGTTCATGGTTAAGCAACAGCCCAAGATTTAGGCTGATGGGATCACATTTGAGGATCCCACAGTTGATGGCCCTGGGAATGTGCAAGGTTGAGGTAGACCCTGTTCTGGTAGGAGCCACAAGATTTTTCAGTTTTATTCACTTACTGTCCTTTCTAATTGTTTCCTCAGACCTTTATCTGCTTCTTCACCATCAGCACCAAGCCTTGGAAAACAGAGTTTGTCCTCCTGAACAAGACCTGCTCGGAGGAGTTGCCCTAATTGAAACCCACCTAGAGGCTTGATCAGGGGCTGCTCCATCTTCCAAGGATCTCAGTGTTTCCTCCACATGGCTCTTCAGGTGCTGAGAAACTCAATGCTCATGTGTTCTTCATATTTTCCAAGTTATGAGGGTTTATATTTAGCCATTCAAAAGTTCTTCATTGTCCATTTTTATCACAAAGAATATTAAAGTTGGTATTTTAGAAGCTCTCCGACTGTACTTGTCTGTGGAGATATTAGGGATGTTGGTGGAATTGGCTTCATCGGGGCAGCTTTGCAAACTCTCTGGGGAGGCACCTCCTGTCACCTTGGGCCCCTAAACTGGTTCCACATGATACAACTAAGGCGTACCTAAAGAAGCTGCTATGTCAGGGCTCACGCATGAAGAAGCAAAGAGTCAGAGGCAAAATAACTGTCACCTCCCTGGGCATCGGGTGTGCATATTGACTTCTTATTTCCCAGGTACATTCTGGAGAACACAATAGACAGTACTCTGTGAGATGTCTTCTGTGTCTGGGGTTGCCAGAAAAGGATTCATGTGTTTTATCCAAAATTCCAGGATTGAATCATTGCATGGTTAAAGGCTACTACAGCGTGTAGATTTGGGTTATGAATGCTTCTGTGTACTATCAAATGATACTTTGGTCTTACTCAGTTTTTGGAAAAAATTTAATGACAACAGCCTCAATGTAGGTCTTGCCTATTGTTAGATTTAAGCAAAAAGTATCGATATGTGAGTTTAAAAGTGTAACTATAAACAAGGCCAGATGCACAAATCCAACAAGAAGTTTTAACTTAAAACATCAGTAAAATTTGTTACAGTGTGTAAAGAATGTTTCTGGAGGAAAAAAAAAGAAATCTCTCAGGTTCAGTATGACCTAGAGGCCCTGGACTATGAATATGCATAGCCCAAGGGTCTGAAAGGTCATCTTGAGTTGGGAGATGAAGACTCAGGGCTTGAGGCCCTGAAGCATTGCTGCAGTGAGGTGTGAGAAGAACTTGATATGGCACTTTCCCATCGAATTTAAGGGCAGTTTTTTTGGGATATTTTTTCTAAAAGACCCCATCTCTAGCTTCTAAATCATGACAGGTCTGATTGTCATTAAGTGGGGGTGGGGGGGTCACAAAATGCTTTTTTCTTTTTTACCTGAAATATACTTTGAAAACATACTTTGGCATAATGCATCAAAAATTTGTATTACTGGCATGAATGAATATGTAAAAATGAATCTCACCAGTATGTGTAATCAGAATGCACCAATAAAAATATGAAAAAAAACTTGTACTAGGGTCTCATATCTACATATGTGATACTATTATTAGGGGCATAAGTCTTTCAATAACTATTTCATAAAATATTAGTGTTTTCAAATGGAGGTGGACCTGATTGTCATCATACCCAATGTTAATACCTTTGACCAAGGCAATTATTTTTTTTCCAATTTTTAATTGACATATACTAATTGTACATATTATAGGGTACACAGTGTGATGTTTCAGTACATGTATATATAATGTGTAATAATTGTATCAGATTAATTGGTTATCTACATGTAATTGGGCCCAGTCTATTTATTTATTGAATCCAATCTGATTACAGATAGCCTAGTTAAGAAAATGCTCCAGAGAGCTCAAAATCTGAGAGGGAGCTCATACAAGAGAGGTGTCTCACACATGGGTGCCAGTTGCAGTGAAAGAACCGCAAGCACAGTAGACCCATTTGGGACCTTCACTTGTCAGTAGATTCTCTGGGGTGATACTGGAGGTGCCCTTTGAATCTCTCATCTAATACCAAACTGTTAAAAGAAAAATTTTAGACAAAATTAAATTACAGGTTTTATTTGAGCAAAAAAGTATTTATGAATCAGGCAACACTCAAGCCTTGAGAAATTCTGCTCCTACAATGTGAGCAGTAAGGTTTTACAAGCTGAACTAGAAAACAAAAAAACTACCTGACTGACTATAGCTAGTCCATTTTTCTTATTTGAGCATGCCATGATGGAAGGTCAAGGTGTTTGCCTTATTGGGTATGGTGTGAGGAGAGCTCCTAGGCATTTGTATTATTTGGGCCTGGTGTGGTGGGAGGTCTTCAGTTATAAAACCAATTGACTGGCTAGCTGTGATTAAGGCTAGATTTTATTTATTTTTTATTAAAGAGAGGGAATTTTTTTAATAATTATTTTTTAGTTTTTGGTTGCCACAACATCTTTATTTGTATATGGTGCTGAGGATCGAACCCTGTGCTGCATGTGTGCCAGGTGAGCATGCTACCGCTTGAGCCACATCCCCAGCCCTAGATTTTAATTTTTTATGTCAGCCATAAGAAATGCCTCCAAGTTGAGCTTTAATTTATTTATGAAAGAGTACTGGGTATAGGAGACAACATCAGGCTAAATTTGTTTGCTTTAAAAAGAGGACATTTTAACAATATTTTACCAAAGAAATTTACTAAATAATAAAGCATTTTACTACAAATTTTTAAGAGGTTAAAAATATTGAAAATAATTTAACTTGAGAGAAGTTGAGCTTCTTGACAAGGAAAAAAACAATCCAATATATGCACAAGCAGATATAAAAGAAATATTCATTATACCACTCTTTATAATAGCAAAACACAAAAAAATTTAAACAGTCAATTTTAGGGTGTTGACTATATATAAGAATGGGTCTTAAGATCTATAGCTCTTAGGGAGCCCTCGGCTCTGAGGGACCACAGTGTAAGGAAGCCAGGTGGTGGGGTTCAAAGCAGCTTCTCTCCTCTCTAGAGGCACCACCCTAGAAATTGATGGCTGGGGGAACTGAAAGACCCCTCTTTTTCTTTATCATCAAGCAAATTATTCTTCCTTCTTCCTATTCCATGCACACCCTAGAAACCACTCTCAAGCCTCATTCTGATTCCTTTCAAGTTAAATTAACTTCTTTTAAAAAATTTTTATTTGTTCTTTTTAGTTATGTATGACAGTAAAATATATTTTGACATATTATACATACATGGAGTATAACTTCTGATTCTTGTGGTTATACACGATGTGGAGTTACAATGGTTGTGTATTTTGTATGCACATAGGAAAGTTCTGTCCGATTCATTCTACCATCTTTCCTATTCCCAATCCCCTCCCTCCCCTTCATTCTCCTTTGTCTAATCCAAAGTACTTTGGTTCCCCTTCCCCTTATTGTGTGTTAGCATCTGTAGATCAGAGAAAATATTCGGTTTTTTGGGACTGGCTTATTTCACTCAGCATGATAGTCTCCAATTCCATCCATTTACTGGCAAATGCCATAATTATATTCTTCTTTATGGCTGAATAATATTGAATTAACTTCTTATTTGTGGTTTAGTCCATATCCAGTCCCAGGGAGGTCTTTCAAACCTGGGCTTCTCTAAGCGTGCCACAGGGCCAGAAATACCTGTATCCCTTGGGAGCTGGTTACAAATGAAAATTCCCTGGTTCCTTCCGTACTTGCTGGGTCAGTAGCCTGGGAGGTGGGGAGGATAGAACTTGATAGAACCTGTTCTTCTGAAAGTTTATAAGTAGCAGCTGAGAAAAGCTGAAGATATATTCATGGAGACAGCTCAAGTCTTATTTGAAAACTTGGTAAATGACTTTCTAAAGCTCAGACTATGGTCCATGAAGGTTAATCCTGCTTAGGGAAGCTCTGAGAATTGATGTGGAAATCCCTCTTTGAATTGGGTCCCCTGGAGTTGGGATGCCAAGACTGGAATGTAAATCTGTCTGTCTCCTAGTAATGGTGGTTGACTCTCAGACCTCCACACCTGCAAAGTGAAAACAATCTGCTGATGGAACTCTATTTGCACTGAGCAGGCCCTGAACCCAGCCTGGGGAGGTGAAGGTGCTGAAATGGGAGCTGCCTGCATGATAGTGCTTAGAGACATCAAGTACAGGGCATATAGAGGGGTTTTTGGAGATTGGTAGCTATGGCTCAAGAGGCAAACCAGCAACTGGCTGCTTGTGTCAATATAGTCTCATTGGAACACAGTCACTCTCATTTGTTTACACATTGCTTACGGCTTCTCTCAACGTACAAGAGTAATATTGGGTCATTGAGAAAGAGACCATACGATCCATAAACACCAAAATAGTTGCTATATTTTTCCCCACAGAATGTGTACCAAACCCTAGTCAAGTGATATAGACATGATCTTAGTAGCCTCTGACACATCAGAACATATCAAATATTAATTTTCCTTGCATCCCTTGGGGGATCTGTGAAACATAGGCTCCTTTTGCAAAGATGGGGTGACCCTGAAGTTGTCCATTTCTGTGAGGTTACCAGGATATGCTGTAGCTGCTCCCAGTGCTGGGACTATCCTTGGAGAGTAAAGCTAGAATCTTTACTCTCCAAGGATAAGGAAAGGTATGAAAATCAGCCCTTTAAAAGTAGAGGGCACAGGTGCTGTGGGCTTGTCTGCCTCCACTGTGCACATCAGATGCCCTGAGAAGTCACAGTCATTTTACCTCTGGACATGTGGGTCATTGCCATGAACTCTAAGGCAGCAGCTCAGATGCACCTTAGTTGTGCCACTTGAGGCTGCATTCAGGAGGTCTAGAAGGAGGAGGGACACTTCTAGAGAGACAGCAGACCACCCTTTTGAGCATAACTCTTTTGATCCTCATAATCACCCTCATAATCATGACTCACAAATCTGATAGAAATGCATCTATTATGATTTATTTATTATCATCTATAATGATCTATTCTTCATGATGGACCTGATGAAGGAGATTTTCTTAAAGATTTTAGAAGATTTTCTAAAATGTTAGGACATAAAACCACAGACACTTGCAAAACAAGAGATTAAAGTCTAATAGAACTGTTCAGCTACTGAAATGCCAACTTCTGTGAATGGCTGGTGTCCACAGAAGATGGAGCAGACCATGACCAATCCTGTGGGTGGATCCAAATCAGGCGAATCACTCTGAGCAATTCTTCTTTAGCATGCTGAAACTTACTGCCAAGTTCTGGGTGTTGATTATGAA